TGCTGTTTCTTGTATGTGGCCCTTTCTTGAGTGAAATGCATGATCAGCACTTGTTGAGGTACTGTCCGGATATTTTAACTGCATGTACGTTATGTCATCTGAATGCATTTTATGCTTGTTGATTTCATGGTTTGACTGCGAATTTCTCCAAAAATATGAATCCTGATTTAGTACAGGTAACACAAGTGATGGAGGTGGTATTTGCTTTGAGTACAACAATTGTTTGTCTAAGCCTTCTTTTACATGAATGTAGTTTACAGAATTGTTGTCATTTGTAGACTTCCTCACACTGTGACCATTGTCTTGATTTTGGCGCTCAGTTTCCCAGTGTGCCTTGGGGACAATTCGCACCCATGGGTCTGTGAATGGAATGTATTCAACACGAGCTGTTCTAAGTTTTTGTTTGCTTTCACCAGTAGAGTCAATGCTGTTTTCATTGCTTGCATGTTGATTTTGACGAGATGTATTCTCTTTATATTGAGGAATGTAATCTGGTGGTTTGATGTATGTGGGCAGCTGTACATTTTGATATTTCATTTGTGATTCAGGAGGCATAAATCTGTCTGGGGAAAATTCTGCTGATGACTTGTATTGCCCATTTTCATGTGTACTCGTATGACAACACACGTTTTTCAATTGAACTTGTGTTGTTGGTCCCTTGTAGCAATCTTTGCTTCTCATTTGGTACATCTCGTATGTTGGCGGTGGAGGCCTGAATGTTTGAGGTTTTTCAATCTTCTCTGTTGGTAGGGGAGTTGCTTCAAAGTATTGTTTTCCTGTGTACAATATTGCATGTGCATCTGATGTTGCCTGGAGGGAAGTGCTTCCTTTGCCTGGATTCACCAACATGTCCTTGCTGTCCTGACCACACTGACTTGAGGAGTAATACATCCCTGACATGTCCTGGTAGTCACTACAGCAATGGCTTGATACATATTTGGAATTCCCTTTTTCTCTGCTATTCCTGTGCATATTTTTACTTTGATCGGTCAATAACGCGTAGTCTGGATTTATTTTACTTTGTTGCAGCTGTGTAGTCTGTGGTGCAGAGTTCTGAGATAATTCCAGGGTCGGAGGTTCAGCCTTGTATGGTGGAGGCTGTGGGTAGGTGCTGGGGCGTGGGATTGTGTCTGCATTAGCTGGGTAGCCGTGCAATCCAGAGTATTCCGAGGGAAGAGTCGAGTCACGAGACACTGCAGGGTACGGTGGGGGGGTTGCCTCGCGAGACACTGCAGTCTGGTTGAAAGGGCCATGCTGCACTGTGTTGTGTGATGGGGCTTGATCTCGTAACCCTGCAAGGTAGGCAGGCGGAGGGACGTCAACATGAGGCGGTTGGTGGATTGCGTAGTCCAGCAGCACGCTGAAATCCTGCCCACGGCGCCGCCAGTAACTCACGCTTTCATCGGATCCCTCCAATAATGGAAGCTGGTTTTCAAAGTTCCTGCAGAACAAAATAAATATTGTGACCAAATTGCATCAACACTAGAACGCTTTTAGCATTTGTAACTTTCTGCTTTTTCTTTTCAATGAGCCATTGCTTAAATCCTGGGTCAGGGGTAGACATCAATCATGTGCGAGTGTGTGTTTTGTAGAGCATGCTGTTTTGCATTCATTTTTTATACATGTTTTTGAAACATTTAGGACATCTTAAAGAGTTTAACTATTGGAACAATATTTTAAGTGCTGGTGACTAATTAATCATATTCAAAAGGATTACAGTGTCTTTGTGAACGCCTTATACAGTGTATACAGCATCGCATCCCCTTAAGAATTTTACAACACTGTCTTTTAAGCAGTTTCTCTGCCAATTCGTAATCGGATGCAGACCATTCATTGAAAACAACGACGGGCCATTTCAAATCAAGACATGCCCTTTGGCTCAGTCTTTGTATTATATTTGCCATGTCTGTTACAAGGGTGACAACATTTTATTGGTATTTCATGGGTTTGGAAGAAACTTTCAGTATGTGGGGTGGGGGGCATGAACATCAGCATAATAATCCCCAAAACGGAAGCCAAGACCGTGAAGTTGATGTTGCCTTGGTGAAATCCAAACTTCAACATACCATGTCTGAGCTCATATGTCTTCAGGAGTACATCTTTCACATAGCCGGTGTACCACCCTGTTGCCAGTTGATTGTGATTACTTTCTACTCACCCACATAAATGATGAGAGTGTAAAACCAAACCGTGGCCGAATGAGTTGTGGCGTAAAGTTAGCACAGCAGTGGAAAACAAACAAACAAATAAAACTGGGAACTGCAGTTGTTCCACTGAGTAACTATCCATGGCATAAATGATGCATGCAGCACTTTAAAACGAGACAAAAATAAAATAATGTGCCTGGTACGGCTGCCAGGATGCAACCACAGCAAGCTTACCAGGGATTCTCATTTCGGTCAATTATATTGTATTTTAATTGCACCAACAGTGGGCATTCATATAATCTGCCCACAGGTGTATATCTAGGCATGTAACTGCATCGATTAACATTTGAAAATGATTCTTGTGATCAGAGTACTTGCAGAGAATTGTGCACGTAAGAATTAATAGTTTAAAATGTGTGTATATTGTTTGACTGGTCAGCATAAATCCTGCAGCCTATTGATGTGTTAGATAGGGGTGTTCAAGCATCACGTAAAGGTATCTATGTGGTGTTTGGAAATCTTAACTCCTGGTTTATTGCCAGAAAGGGTGAAACCTATTCTATTTAAGTATTAATAGTCGACGTAATGCACTCTTGTCACATTCTATGCATAAGCCAGTGTTTTTTTTATAGGCATACAGTAAGTACTGTATAAGCATATATGCATACATATACATTTGTGTAATCTGTTCGTTTCTCAAAGGAAATTATGTTACAGCTGTTCAAACAGAGTACAAGCACATTTCATTTCAGGCAAATGACACAGCAGTCAAAGAAAGGAAATGATGTCTAAAAATGCTGAACTTTTTTGACGGTGCGTTTTTCTCCAGCGAGCTCCTCACCTTATGGTCACAGGGGGCTTTGGGGCTGCATTTGCCCCTCTTCATAGTTCGCCTTTTCACTTACGAGCTCTGCCCTTTCCCTGGAGGGCTCGGCCCTTGCGGGGTGCTCTTGTAGTGGCAGGCTGGAGTGACGTGTGGCGCGGGGAGCGGGCGGTGCGTCGTGCCACACATCCTGGCCAGGAAACCCCTGCTCCAGCCCTGACCGGGGCGGCTCCATCCGGAGTGGAGGCTGTGTGCTGCTGCTGCTGCCGGATGTCGGCCTCCTGCCCGACCTGAAGCCATGGGAAGCCAGCAGGTCGGCAACGCTGTACATATTCTTCAGTAGCCGGCGGTTTTGTTCAAGGCCACTGTCCTTCACTGCGCGCACACTCCCACTCTCCGCTTCCTGCTGAACGGTTATTCAGGATGAGAGTGCCTGATTTGCAACAACAACAAAACATATTTAATTATTCTTGTAATTGTTTTCGGAATAAAGTACTTCACGAAAATGAATGTACCACAACAAGAAATGGAGTTGAAAATATATTTCATAGTCTAAATACAAAGTAATTTAAACACGTGGCATAATACCAGCAAGCTAAGCAATTACATGAATCGGGATCATCTCTACATTGTCTAAATGCCCTCTAAGTGAAACAAGTATGGAAATTAATGTAATGGAAATGATGATAAAGACACGTGCCTTTTTTATCCCCACTCTTATCTGTGCCATCTCGTACCGCTTAAAAGTATATTTTTCAAGAGTTAAAGAAACATTGTATTCAAAGATCATTTTAAAACTCTTGTTTTTATCAAACTTAACTCCTCCTTTGCCATTATCTTAGCTCTACGCACATTTCATGGTGCACATTTCTCTGTAAATACTTTTTGACAGCAATGTGAATTTAAATGAAAGGTTCATCTGGAGAAAGGTTCACTCTGGCAAGCGTTCCCATTGTGCAAACACATGGACATTCCACACTGCCGATTTTTTTTCGTTTGAAAAATACTTAAGGTGGTGCCGTCCCACGCTGCAGACCCAGATTTAAAGAGCAATCTGGCCCAAGATTGCTGGGGTTTTTTCACCAACACAAGTCTGTAAATATGGGCAAACATTTTAATTACGGTATGTGCCGAGAATGCAGCCATGGCTTAAATCCCACTCCTCGTGCCATTAATTTCTTCAGACCCAGTGTGTGAATGTGTACAACAAAAGGACTGTGTTCAATTGCCAGCAGCCTTCCTCAGGCTGCACCTGTACCAACTGGGGGAACTGCTTTCACCCGAGAGCCGTGACCTGCTATGCTGAGAATTTGATACATCTGGAGATTGGGGAAAGATGGAGGTTGGTATGGTTTAGTCATTACTACACCCATGATGCAATTTCAAAGCATTCCCGTAGAAGGAATTAGAAGCAAGGCCAATCATCTGGTTTTCATGTGCATGGTGGAAAATGTACAAAAAAGTCCTCTAAAAGCTATTCGTACTTTACGCACAAATGTAAGATATTCTAAAACGCTAGCTTTTTTCAGGAAGCAGATTAAAAAGGTGGGTAATTAAATTACAGTACTACATGAAGTGTTATTTGGCGGTAAATCCATCAATGAATATACATTTTAGAATTCCCTTGTCATCCGTTTTTGCTTCGGTGCCAATATAAATGTAAACTAATCAGACACAGGTGCATAATGGTACTCATACGTGAACTTCAAAGTCACAGTGGCAGGTGCAACTCTGAACCAGGTGTGGCACTGCAACAAAGTACTGGATGATTTACTGCAACACTCATTCAATAAACAGCATTGGTAAAGAAGCTCTCCTAACCGCTCATGGCCATTTACATCGTTGGAGAGTTGTATTTAAGTCAAGGAAATCCAAACAGCAGTTTTTAGATGTGTTGTTGCTGCCCTTGTATTACGTTCATAAAATAATTTGGTAGGACATAAAGACAAACTGTACAGTTGTCTGCCTTAAGGCTTTAACACAGGATATGAGACATCGTGTCTCTGGACCTTGCAGTGTACCTCAAGGGTGGGGTATGACATAGTTGTTGGGAGTATTTGGCCGAGATACCTCAAACACCCACATTTAATACTTGTGCCATTATTGCAATGCGGAAAGACACACCTAAACTTTGAATCATGTTTTAAAAAGTACTCTGGAGTAAAATCATTAATGTCGACATCTTAGTCTGTGAAAAGTCTGCCTTTGTTTCATTGTCAGACGGGATATTGTTCTCACACAATAGGCCATTGTAGATTGTACAAAATCAGTATATTCGTGCCTGAGAGTAAACTTATGAGCATACACACACCAATGTAAAGCTATGTGGTAGGCAAACTTACGTGCCAAAGTGTGCGTCTTTGTGGGCTCTTAACTTTGTTTGCATTTGGGTGAGTGTGTGTCTCTTGATTATTCACCCAGCACACCATTACCTCATTCCTGCGGAGGGAGCTGGTAGGAACGTTGGGTTGCTCGGTCAATGGCCTGCAGGGTCAACGGCGGCGTGGTGTATTCCGCAAATATGCCCGACTGTGAGGGCGGGCACAAGCCGGCGTGAGTAGGTGAAACGTTGAGTTTTATAAGGGCACCACGGGGTGACCAGCCCCTCCCCACCCAGCCCCACCCCTCCCATTTCTGGATGCACGACGGACGGACGGACGGACACAATAATCCCCTGTGGGCTGGTGGAACCAGGAGGTTTCTAGCAGTGACATTAATGCTGCGTCACTCCACCAAGTAACGAATGGAGGATCAACCGACACAGCCGAGGCGCTCCCCGTGTCTCTCCCTCTCCCCGTGGCGGCGGCGTGGATTTACCTCCTGCCCCCCCCCCCCCCCGCGGTGCCCCCCTCCACTCGTTCAGAGTGAACAGCGGCACGCGGCGCTGAGCGCCTGTGACCCACAGACACCGACTCGCGGTGCCGCGTCCAGAGTGAACAGCGCCACGTGTTGACAAGCCTCACCTTGTTGTTGTTGGCAGGTCGCTTCTGAAAACGAGAGCGGTATAGCAGCTCGAGCGGGCTTGGGCTGATAAAAACACGAAAAAAAACTGCGTTAATATCTACAGCGAACCAAAGTTACAGAGTAGCGAGCCGCGTGAAGACAAATTTATCTTGAGCGAGATAATTAAACTTGAACGCATCAGGCGAGGGCAGGAGGCAAGGCCCGCGGGGCAAAGTTCCAATCTGGACATCGATTCCAACACTCGCTGCTACTCAGTTGACATCCCTGAGAGAGAGAAACAGCGAGGCTCTACCTTGGTACACAACAACAACCACACACAACAACCACCACAACGATGAGAAAATTCTCACCTCAGATTTCAGTAAGCACGAAGCAGCAGCAGCACGTCCTGTTACCTCGTGACGTCACGCGGCAGCAGCAGCAGGTGACATGACGTCACTCTCGGGTTACAAGCCACGCTCCTCCCACAATGAGCGACCCCGCAACTGAATAAATTATGTTAATGAGCGGCCCAACGTCACCACCACCAGCACCACCAGCAGCACACCACCAGCACCACCACCACCACCAGCACCACCAGCACCACCACCAGCACCAGCAGCACCACCAGCACCACCACACCACCACCACCACCAGCACCACCACACCACCACCAGCACCACAGCACCACCAGCACCACCACCCCACCGCCACCAGCACCACCAGCACCACCACCACCAGCCCACACACCAGCACCACCACACACCACCACCACCACAGCACCACCAGCACCAGCACCACCACCAGCACCACCACCACCACATCACCCCACAGCACCACCAGCACCACCACACCCCTCGTGACGAGTCGTTGTCAAAGTTGTGCAATCTTGAGGCTGTGGGCAACCAGACCAGCCCGCCCGCAACATCCTTCACTACACCGGCAAGCTCCCCCGTGTAGCCTCCACACACTTTGTGGGGCAAGTGCTGCTAAACAAACACACAGACACACACACAGACACACAGACACACACATAGACACACAGAGACACAGGTACACAGACACACTCGCCCACTCACCATCCACCCACCCACTCCCCACCCCCACCCCCCCCTCTCACCCCCCCTCTCTCACCCCCCCTCACTCACCCCCCCCTCCCCCCACTCACTCACCCCCCCTCTCACCCCCCCCACTCACTCACCCCCCCCCCCCTCACCCCCCTCTCACCCCCCCCCCACTCCTCACCCCCCCTCTCACCCCCCCCTCTCACCCCCCTCTCACTCCCCCCCCCCTCACTCCACCCCCCCCCCCTCACCCCCCCTCTCACCCCCCCTCTCACCCCCCCTCACTCCCCCCTCTCACCCCCCTCTCACTCACCCCCCCCCTCCTCCCCCCCCCTCTCACACCCCCCCTCACTAACCCCCCCCCACTCACCCCCCCCACTCCCCCCCCCCACTCACCCCCCCCACTCACCCCCCCCCCCACTCACCCCCCCCCACTCACTCACCCCCCCCCACTCACCCCCCCTTTACCACCCCCCCCCACCACTCACCCCCCCTCTCACCCCCCCCCCACTCACTCACCCCCCCCTCTCACCCCCCTCTCACTCACCCCCCCCCCTCACTCACCCCCCCCCCCACTCACCCCCCCCCCCCACTCACTCACCCCCCCTCTCACCCCCCTCTCACTCACCCCCCCCCCCACTCACCCCCCCCACTCCCCCCCCCACTCACCCCCCCCCCACTCACCCCCCCCACTCACCCCCCCTCTCACCCCCCCACTCACTCACCCCCCCCTCTCACCCCCCCCCCCCACTCACCCCCCCCACTCACCCCCCCCACTCACCCCCCCCACTCACTCACCCCCCCCACTCACCCCCCCCCACTCACCCCCCCCACTCACCCCCCCCCCCACCACCCCCCCCCCCCACTCCCCCCCCCACTCACCACCCCCCCCCACTCACCCCCCCCCACTCACCCCCCCCCACTCACCCCCCCCCACTCACTCACCCCCCCCACCACCCCCCCCCCACTCACTCACCCCCCCCCACTCACCCCCCCCCCACTCACCCCCCCCCACTCACCCCCCCCCTCACTCACCCCTTCCACTCACTCACCCCCCCCCTCACTCACCCCCCCCCACTCACCCCCACTCACTCAGCCCCCCACTCACTCAGCCCCCCCCCCCCACTCACTCACCCCCCCCCCCCACTCACTCAGCCCCCCCCACTCACTCACCCCCCCCACTCACTCACCCCCCCCACTCACTCACCCCCCCACCCCCCCCCCCCACTCACCACCCCCCCCCACTCACCCCCCCCCACTCACCCCCCCACTCACCCCCCCCACTCACTCACCCCCCCTCTCACCCCCCCCCCCCACTCACCCCCCCCCACTCACCCCCCCCCACTCACCACCCCCCCCCCCACTCACCCCCCCCCCACTCACCCCCCCACTCACCCCCCCCCACTCACTCACCCCCCCCCCCACTCACCCCCCCCACTCACTCACCCCCCCCACTCACTCACCCCCCCCCTCACCCCCCCCATTCACCCCCCACTCACTCACCCCCCCCCACTCACCCCCCCACTCACCCCCCCCCACTCACTCACCCCCCCCCACTCACTCACCCCCCCTCTCACCCCCCCCACTCACCCCCCCCCCACTCACCCCCCCCCCCACTCACCCCCCCACTCACTCACCCCCCTCTCACCCCCCCCCACTCACCCCCCCCATCACCCCCCCCCACTCACCCCCCCCCCACTCATCACCCCCCCCTCACTCACCCCCCACCCAACTCACCCCCCCCCCTCACCCCTCCCCACTCACCCCCCCCCACTCACCCCCCCCCCACTCACCCCCCCCCCACTCACCCCCCCCACTCACCCCCCCCCCACTCACCCCTCCCCACTCACTCACCCCCCCCCCACTCACCCCCCCCATTCACCCCCCCCCACTCACCCCCCCCCACTCACTCACCCCCCCCACTCACCCCCCCCCCCCACTCACTCACCCCCCCCCCACTCGCTCAACCCCCCCCACTCACCCCCCCCACTCACCCCCCCCCACTCACCCCCTCCCCCCCCCCTCTCACCCCCCTTCACTGTGGCTACACACGAGGGTGGCGGTGGGTGACCAGCACCACGCCCCGGCCGCCTTCGTCTCCCTGGTGGCGATGTTTCGCTACACACCGCACCAGCTACTCGCTTTGAGGCTGAGTCGACCTAGGGAGGCCCAGGACAGGTTCAGATATCGTCACTTGCGGTGTTGGCCGTGAGCCGGAATCGAAACTCTGATCGCCGGGTTCGTAGCGCTAACCGCTGCAACCACACCGCTCCCCACACCGCGAGAGACACACACGCGGGAGACAGACACGGGGTGAGGTGTGCAAGAGACATCAAGTGTATTCACAGGTCACCCACGGAACCCGCAGGGTTCAGGGAGTCCCAGCACACGCACGTGCCACCCACCGTGACGTCCCAACCCGTGCGCTCGACCCGTGTTTCTTGCAACAGGCGAGTTTCAGGCCCACACAGCGTACAGACGTTGCAATGCGGGCAAACAAATCGTAATCGTCTATCTGTGTTTCTTTCCCTTGTGATGATGGGACTTTGCAGGATGAACGTTGAGGTTTATACGGGGCACGGGGTAGGTGACCAATACGGTCTGAGTGGCCGCCGTGTGTGCGTTGTGTGTCCCGGACCGTGGCGATGCCCCTGCTGCTGCTGCTGTATATGTGGAGTGTGCGTCTCTCTCTCTGTGGCTAATGAGATGTTGACTACCTCGCTGGTCTACAGGAGGTCGTGGGTTCCATCCCAACCCTGGCGATGCCTGCTGCTGCTGTATATGTGGAGTCTGCGTCTCTCTGTGGCTAAGAGATGTTGACTACCTTGCCTGGTCTACAGGAGGTCGTGGGTTCCATCCCAACCCTGGCGATGCCTGCTGCGCTGTATATGTGGAGTCTGCGTCTCTCTGTGGCTTAAGAGATGTTGACTACCTTGCCTGGTCTACAGGAGGTCAGGGTTCCATTCATTAACCCTGACGATGCCTGCTGCTGTATATGTGGAGTCTGCGTCTCTTTCTCTGTGGCTAAGAGATGTTGACTACCTCACCTGGTCTACAGGTCATGGGTTCCATCCCGGACCCTGGCGATGCTGCTGCTGCTGCTGTATATGTGGAGTCTGTGTCTCTCTCTGTAGTTATGAGATGTTGACTACCTCGCCTGGTCTACAGGAGGTCGTGGGTTCCATCCCAACCCTGCTGCTGCTGCTGTATATGTGTCACCGGGTCCTCCGGGTTTTCCCCCTCCACATGTCGAGTTGACATCTGCACACGTTCAGATTGTTTGGCTGCTACTAGAAATGTTTCACGTGATGATGATGGTTCTCCGTGTGTCTCTATGGATCTATACGAGTCCCTGGATGTCTGTGGGTCTGTGTGAGTCTCTCTGAGTAGGGGTCTCTATGGGTTGTCTATGGATCTCTGTGGGTCTCTATGGGTGTCTATGGATCTCTGTGGGGTCTCTATGGGAGTGAGAAGGGGGAGGGGGAGTGAGGAAGGGGAGGGGGGGAGAAGGGGGGAGGGGGGGGAGAAGGGGGAGGGGGCAGAATGGGGGGAGTTTGTTTGACGATGAAACACAACAAGCGAGGAATAGTTTCCAAACGTAGAACCAAAAATCTATTTTATATTTTTTTCTGTTTCTAATACGTCCGTTGTGATGTGTTTGTAACAACACAAGCCAAACAAATACATTTGCGAATTTTTCATGTTTTGAGATGACAGATACTTGGTTTACGGCGAGGATTGATGTTATCCTAGATGGGTTTGTTTATAACACGCTTTTATTATTTAACAAATTCCGTCTGGAGTTGTGTCCTCTGAGCAGCCGCGCCGAGGGGCGGGGTGGGGGCAGGAGGGGGAGGGGCGATGGGGGAAGGGGGGCACGGGGGGCGGGGGGGGAAGGGGGGGGAACGGGGGGGGAGGGGCAGGGGGGGAAGGGGGGGGGGCACGGGGGGGGGGAGGGGCGGGGGGGGTGGCAGGAGGGGGAGGGGCGATGGGGGATGGGGGCACGGGAGGAGGGCATCTGG